CTATCCCCACCCACCCCAATAAACTAATCTAACAGGGCAGATGCAATTAAAATACTAAGACTTAAGTGATTTATGGACTACTATTTCCTCTTACTGTGATCTTCAGTTGTGCTTGTGTGGCTATATATTCTCATGTCAGTCCTATAAAACTTGATACTCATGCTGCTAGCTAATGTAAGATTCATTAATAATAGAAAATCTTCAGCGCTATCATATTTGATTTTATATCTATTACAGGAACATAGTGAGAAGAATATCATTAGAAGTATTCACTAGTAGTCAAAGTTCAAGGGGAGGTACACAGAATCATTATAATCTATCATGAGACCCTGTCAAGATGTTCTGTTCACTAACTCCATCTTGCTGCCCTTCCATAAGACAAGTACAGAAATTTCTACTATTTATTTGGCCATCCAAAGAAAACTCATGATAACCCTCTCCCCGATATTCTATGCAATATATCTTGGCAACAATTTCTATATAATTAACTTGATATATATCCTTAATTAGTTAAGTGGGACATGTTTTGATTTATGGGTAAGGATGATGACTTGTGATAGAAATGATGAAGTTCACTCCTTTATCGAAGTTCACTCCATTTTCAATGACAAGCTCAACTACTATTGACTTCTAGAATTTCTCTGAAGCAAAAAGTGTTCTGGTCTTTTTCAAAGATATTTTGTTCAACTTCCCAGATTAGACCATGGCTTTAGGATTTTCTGACTGTTTCTCATTCATGTACTAATCAGGTCCAATTCTGTGTAACTCAGCTAGGTACTATAATGGCTAGATCATTTTCCATTTCTGCAGGTAAAAGTGATTCTACCTACCTTACTCACTTCCATGCTATCTTCCATAAAAATATCTTCCTATTACCTGAAGTTTCTGAAGTTAATTATTTGATTTAAGCTGTCACTGGGAATACGTTATGTCACCTATGCTTTTCAAACTCTTCAGAAATCATTGGGAAATTGGAAACGTGCTTTTAAGGGTATTTTTATTGTTATCAGCTATGTATTTTCCTTCTACCATATTCTGAGAAGACTGAGGAGGTTCTACATGGATGATGAGCTAGATAAAGCTAAACAAACTAAAAGCAAATTTGGATGAAACAGAAATACCATTGATTTGAATCCAGCCAATACAGTAGTTGAATTTCAACTCACTAAGGATAGTGTTTCATCCCATTAAAAAAATCAGGTTTATAATCTGGAACATTCATGGACTCAACTTTTCTATGAAGATATATAGGCATTAAAAGTTTTTGTTGATGAGTCAGCTGAATACTTTTCCTGGAGTGATCAGATTTAGCTATAACTTTTTGTTTTAATTTAACACAACTCAGCTGAATTACTGTAATATAAATTGCATGGAACAGTTCTTAAAACCAGGTTGAAACCTCAGATAGCACAGCTTAGTACTATTGAAATATACTGGTAAATACAGTTCAAGATACTAACTTATTACCTTTGAAGATTTAAGAGTAGACAATCTGAAAGACATATATGAACTAGCTCAGTCTTAAAGTTCAACCACCACCTTTCCATTCTTGGTGCACTGTTGCCTTTTGAAGCATCTTTAATGCATATTAGCTGATATAGCTTACAGCTATTTATCTTAATACTTGCTTTTTTATTGTTTCTTGGATGTATTAATTCATTTGTTGTATATTAACAGCAGGGGTTTTTCATTTTCATTTTTACAATTACTTAGGTATATATGTTATTGAATGGTTGCCATAACACATTTAACTCATGGTCATGGGTAAAATCAGTATGTATATAAAATCAGTATGTATGGAATCAGAAATAGAGTTAGAATCATCAGAAATGGAGTTAGGGAGAGAGAGTTTAATCCCCAAAAGTTTTGAGGTTTTTTTTAATTAAAATCTTCTCCCCAGGTCAACCATATAATACCCAAAGTGCCCCATCTAAGATAAGTCAATCAGTGTTCTCACTGCCAAAGTCAAGGTAGTCAGGAAACACAGCTTCCATACTTTATAGAGCCTGACTAGGTGGCTCAGTGGCTAAGATACTGAGCTTGCCGATCAGAAAAGTTGGCAGTTCGCCGATTCGAATCCCTAGTACAGTCTCCTGTGTGAGCAGGGGATTGGACTAGATGACCTCCAAGATACCTTCCAACTCTGTTATTGTTACTGCTTGGCTTCAACAACTAACTAAACCAAGGGGCTACTTACAGAGATCTTTTCTGCAAATTTTTATATTATAAATTGACAGAAAAATACTTGATATACATACATACATACATACATACATACATACATACATACATACATACATACGTATATTTCCTGCTTACAGGGCAACTATGCCTGAGCTAAGCATTTTCACACAGCAGGATAACAGAGTCCCATCTTCAGTACAGCAACTGTTCTTTGAAATCTTCTCCATATGGCAATTGCCTGAACATTAGCCATATGTTAGAAAGGAACAATCTGAGATGCTGAAAACTAAATGACATTCTTCTAGAATAAATTATAGGAGAAATGTCACTGATTTCAGTAATTTCATCAAGGTAAAAGTCTAATCAAAGACTACAGCTCCCACAGTCCACATTTCCTAAAGTAAGGTCATTGCAATGAAGCAATAAACAAGACTTTTTATTGCTTAAGTAGATACTTAAGCAGATACTTTTATTGCTTTAGTAGACACACCTTACAACAAACTTTTTTCTTCCTATAGAGGGAAATCTCCTAAAATACGCAGATTATTGTTACTGGGTCCTAATATGTGAATTATTGGACCTGTTTAATGGAACAAGCATTCAAGAAAAAAATTAATTGCATTATCTCAAATCCTCTTCATTTTTACTACTACTGGAATGTAACCTATTTCTTTAAAACACCACTTTGTTAGTTTCTAATGCCAAATGTTCCATTTAAAACCACTTAATTGGCATTCCTCAAAAAGCTAAAGAAGTTCCAAGAAGTCATTTCTAAAGACTGAATCTGTATGCAGTACTCTATTTTCAATCTCAGAAAAACTGTTTCTGATGAATTCATGCAAAGTAACTTTATTTCTGAAAGTTGTCAGAAGATGCTTGTACTGGAGTATCTATGAAAGTCTATTTTTCCAGGTTTTTTTTTTTTTTTTTTGCAATTCTATTTTTTAAAACCCCCTCTACAAGAAAAGGGAAGTGATTGTTTCAAATTTTGCAACTTTTATTGTATTGCAAGGAACATCTTTCTCTTTTTGGTGATAGCCTTTCAAAGTTTACTAGAGAAGATCTTAAATTAAAGCTGATCTTTTAATCAAATGTCCTTCTACCAAGTCTCTTCAAGTTTTCTTCTAAAAAATTTGCTGCGGAAAGGCAAACAATTATATTCATTTTCTACACACTACATAAAGGAGATAAATTGGCAAGGCTAAAAGAACTTCACTCAAAAGTCCATTCATTTGCTGGACCATCTCTGTCCTCCACTGGGATTTAGCTCTGGTATCATTTGGAGAGATACCTAAAATTTAAAACTACTCTAGATTACTCATACAGCTTGATACAGAGATACATAATAAGAGAATGTTTCCAAAATCACTTCCTAAACCAAAGTGGATCCTCAGATAATAGGCAACTCACAGTACAAAGTTCCAAAGGGATCTTTAGAGTCTGTCAAGTCACATAATTATTACAGTGGTTCATGACTAATTAAGCAGGAGAGAATATTCAAGTTTTTTTAAAAAATATATATAGAGACAGTTGAGTAATTTGTCCTATGTTTTATTATCTGGTTATTTGTGGTGACTTATATGACTTCCTGAATTCATTCTTTCTTGGTTTCACTTGTACTTGACAGGAGTCCTTCTATAGGAGGATTATCTTTAAAAACCCAACAGTTTAGCAAGTAATCTTGCTTCAGTGACTAAACACTTAGAACTCTAAATAGAAAAAGCTTTTCCAAATCCACTGTAAAGAAATATTGCTAGAAAACATAACTTGGCAGAAAAGCCTACAAGCATTTCTCCCATGATAGGCATAGCTTTGTGCAGGCTGTTTATTGCATTTCCCAGAGACTTAGAAGTTTACCAGGTACATAATAAGCAACAAAGCAAAAGATTGGCACTCTCTCATTTATAGGCTTCAGAAAATTGAAAAGCACACACTGATAGTAAGGCTGCTGAAGAAATTATTTGTTCAGATCATACCATGCACACAAGCATTAACTTTCTATCTGTGTACTGAGTGACTCTATATCAGATTTGACTTGCAGGACAGAGTGTGTGTATGTGCACATATAATCTGATAGTGTGTACTCCAGAATAAAGATCACATGTACATCCACGACTGCAAATCCTACATTTTACCAGCTTTTCTCTTTCATTGCTAAAAAGGTATTCTGCAGGAAAACTGTATTAATGGAACTTTTAAATAATCTTAATAGCATCCCAATGTCATCTCACCCTTATGCTCTTCACAAATATAAACAGAGCATCAAGGCATTTTTTTTTTTCTGTTGCAAAACTCCCAGTGAAATAAAACCGGTCCATGCTTTAAGGTTTTGTTTTGAAATCAAATGCAATGTATAACAAAGCCAAGTACATTCCATATTCTTCTGGTGTAGTTTTGTTTTTTGCATTGGAGTACATGAAAAATTACTAGTGCTGGATGAACATTTATTGACATAAGACACTGTTTTGCTTAATCACAAATGCATTGGGTCACTGCAGAGCTTGGAGTTTTCCTCTTATTGACTAAGAAGATGAATGGACTTGACTAACTAGCGAATGACCCAGAATCAAAGTCTCTTAAGCACCGTTTTCCTTCTCTTTCTCTCTCAGGGTATGTATGAGAGAGACAGAGAGAAGCATTGTGAAAAGGGGGGAAAGGAAAATAAAAACTACCCTAGGATCTGCACAACAGAAGATGCTGTCTGAACTTCCAAAGCAGGAAAAAGCTGGAACGAAAAGCCTGGCTTAAAAAAAAAAAAATCACCTTAACCAGCTTCTCAAACCCCCGTTCCAAGTCAGAAACAGCTGGGTACTCACCTGGTACTGAGAACCAGAACAGGCAAAAGGAAGAGCAAATATTCAGTCAAGATGAATTTCATTTTGCAAAGCGTGGCTGTTTCGTTCTCTGGAGCTGCTCGGCACTCTTCCTCTCTTGATTCCTCTTGTCTTTCCCACCAGCTCTCCGATTTCTAAAGTCCTTCCTCTGCAAAGAAGCTGCTCCCGCGGATGACAGTCAGTAGATCTGAAAAAGCAGGCAGACCAACACACTGACTAATGAAGGCAGCCTAGAGTGGGGCTTGAGCTTCAGGAGTGATGTCACAGGCAACGGAGCTGCTGCTGCTACTAGTCTCATGCCTGATAGTCTGTGATTATTCAACACAGGGACTCTATTGATGTCCTGAAGGATTTGTTATTACTAGCAGTTTCAGTGGCAACAGCAGAGGGAAGTGAGCACCCAGCAGATGCTGCTTCCTGTTAAAGGCTCATCCTAAATTCCCCCTAAAGAATCAAAATGTCGAATGAAAGTTGGGTCATTTGCATGGAGACCCAGGGTGAAGACTTGTTTAAATGAACAGCCAAGTTTCAAACTCACCTCCTGCTTGCTGCAAGTGAAAGGCAGCTCTTCAACTCACTATGAATAAGAAGTTATTGTAGCAACTGGAAGCACATTCCTTAGCAGCTAGGAAGCCAACACTAAATGGGTTTTTTTTTTAAAAAAAATAAATCCCGGAAGTCTCTTCTCTAAAGATCCAATTGTCATCATTGGAAATCTTTATAAAGGTCAATCCAAATGTAAGCTTTCTTTGGGTGTTATACTGATAATCATTCTGTTTAAAGAAGCAACATTTGGCATCAATTATTAAAATTTTAATTTGAGGGGAAGAGAAGGAGAGGGAATTAAAACTCCTTCAAGAGGGTTTCTTGACATCACTTAAAATCCATTTGCCAATGAAAGTTAAAGTCCTGAATGTCCTTCACAGTCCCCAAACATAAATAAAACTCTACTCTTGGATAGTAATAGGTTTCTACAGTATATTTTGGTTATATCAGAATTTAGACTTTTAAAAGATATTGCAGTTTTATGAAATGAGGGTAGCTTGGTCTGGAAAGGAAATGTGTTTGCGCGGGTCAGGATAAAAGAGAATTCAGTTGCCTGAATACATAAATTGCTCATGCAGAAAGGCATTTAAAACATTTTAAATGATTTTCTGTATTACAGAGAGGCAATATATATCGAAGGCAAAAGCTTCCAGAAGATTGGGTCTTAGAACATTTGAAACCTATTAACTAGAGGCAGGCTAACGAGAAGCAAATTTCCTTTAAATGGCAAAATACTCGTGTGAAAATTAATTGTCACACAGTGAAATGGCAAGATGTCCTTCCTATTAATAGAAATCATATAATGGAAGTTGAAATGTATACATTATGTTGTATCATTAATGAATGACATTTTGTATTCAACTTCAATGAGAAAAATACACTCTGCCCTCAATGATATCTAGGTTTACTTCCTCTGTCCCTTCTCCCTTCTTACCTCTTCTTTCCTTCTTTCCTTCCTTCCTTCCTTCCTTCCTTCCTTCCTTCCTTCCTTCCTTCCTTCCTTCCTATCTACCTACCTACCTACCTACCTACCTACCTACACAGCACCTTCCTACTGTGTTGGGCAGCATAGATTGGGAAGAGTGCATACTAGGTGCAAGAAGTGCTGTGCAGATAGGGGAGGACAAGAAAGATTTACATGAATGCCATGTAGGGAAAAGTATTTGTGGAGAGAGGGTGATGGGAGTCCATCAAGATGCACAGGAAGTGATGGTGTATGTGGGCAGTGTGGGCTTGAAATAGTGTGCGGTCATTCCTTCCTTCCTTTCTGTTCTTCCCTTTCTTTATTTCCCTTCTCTTCCTTTTCCTTCCTAGCAGGCAGGTAAGTATTTGCTGCTAGCTGGGGAAAAGAGTAAAGGATTGCAAGAGTAGCTGGAAAACTACTCAGCCCAGCAGTGCCTAAGTAGCCACAACTTTCCCAAATTTCATTCGCTTAGGAATAATGAGTCCTGGCATTCAGTAAGTTAGTTCATTTGGGGTAACTTTGTTGACATGTTTTTGCCAAAAAGTTACAAAGAATCAAACACAAATGTTAGCAATATATAGAATTGTTCTTAATTCTGTAACCCACCCAAAGTTAATGAATTGGGTAGACTTAGAAATATTAATTATAAGTAATATAATTTAGGTAAACAAATAAATATGTTTATATAAAGGGTCTCTCTCCCTCCCTCTCACTCTCTCTCTCTCTCTGTCATCTCACAGCAGGTTGGATACATTTTTAAACAGAATATGGATTGCAGCAATTATTTTTGTAAGAATATTGGATTGCAGCAATTATTTTTGTAAGAATATTTATAGTTTCTACATAATGCTTCTTGGAAACAAATTTAATATGGAAGGCTGGGAATATTTTTTTATGAAGCCATCTTTGTGTTTATTTTTCCCCCCAGAAAATAAAAGAATTGAAATACTTCTTTAAAAGTAAAACCAAAGGAAGCCTTTATTGGCCTGTAGATTCCCCCATACTGGAGTTCTTAATTGTAAATTATGAAACATTAATTGAAAAATATATGTCTGCAAGGATCAATATTCTTTCTTTCTTTCTTTCTTTCTTTCTTTCTTTCTTTCTTTCTTTCTTTCTTTCATTCTTTCATTCTTTCTTTCTTCCTCTCCTCCTTCTTTCCTTCCTTCCTTCCTTCCTTCCTTCCTTCCTTCCTTCCTTCCTTCCTTCCTTTCTGTTTCATTATTTTCATTCTTTACCTTTTCCCAAACTTTAGATGGGCTGGATATGGAGAATTGAAGTGCTTCAAACTCTGAATCTCTCTGACCTGCCTCAGGTCCAACCTCTTTTTCTGAGATTTCTGAGCAAAACATTTTCCTATTGGGAAACATTAGCTAGAGAACCATAGAAAGAGGTAGGATGGTAGAAGCTGATATTAGATTCTTGCTTCCAAGTTTGGAAACTTGCCTCTGTCCTTAGAAGTAGAAAAAAATAAGCATTCAGATAGACTTAAATGTGTACCCTTAGAACAGGAGTGTCAAACTCACGTCATCACAGCGGCATCAATGACGTATCAGGACTTTTTACCCCCTTCGCTAAACTGGGCATGGCCGTGGCCAGCACATGATGCATCTGGCCTATAGGCTGGGAGTTTGACAGCCCTGCCTTAGAATAATACCGGTAGTTGTTTCTTCTCAAGTTTACTCAACTTTAAAGGGATGTTTATTATCACTGGAGAAAATATAGGACAACATATTAACAACTTGATTACGTAAACATTTGTTCCTCACAATTCCAGTGATGTAACTTTCAAATGTTCTCAACATCTTTGAATTTTCCTCCCAAAACAGTCAATAGCTTTTGTAGATATAACTAAGTGCATAAAGTATTAATCAACCATTATTAACAAGCCAGTTTTTTATCTGCGACTATGCAGTATGTCATGTGTAGGAACCATAGTAAAAAGGGTGGTGGGAAAAAATACAGGCAATTTAAGAACACTTAAACTTTTATTCTTATTCAACTGTTTTATTTACTGTAAATATTTTTATTAAGCATTTAAAAAAAGGATTTTTTAAAAAAGACAAAAAGAGCAGAAAAATTAATGATAAATATGAAGTGAAGAAACAAAGAATTTTTAAGTATAAGAATTAAGTTCAAATTTTCATTAATTGTTTTAAGTAATTTTCTTTATTATGCATTTTTAATTTTTTCCAGCCATTCTTAAAAACCATGAGCTATATATAGGAAATATATTCAGCAGCAATATTCAACACAGTGTTGAATATCCTAAAATAAGTTTAACAATTACAGTAAATCCTAAAATAAGTTTAACAATTACAGTAAATTCTATTCAAGCTTCTGATGATGTATTCTGATTTAAGAGATCCTATAGAATCAGAATATTAAGACTTTCGGGAAAGAAAAATCCAAATTTGGAAGTGTCGGAAACTCAAATGTTGAATTATAGTCCAGAATTGGCTTCCAAGTTGAATGAAAAATTCTGTGTCGGATTTACTTCTGAGATATGAAATTAACCATCGAAGCATACTTCCACAACTGAATTTGCCATTCTTCCATGAATGGAATTATAACTGTTTTCAAGTAAGAAGCATGGCAAATTGCTAAAGTAGTAACCATGCACAATGGTATTTTAGTATACTTTCTGGAAATATAATATTTAATAAGACAATAGACTGGAATGAAAAATCAGCTTTTAGAACTTGTTTCTTTCTGGAATATATCATATTCCAAAATAGTTGCACTTTACAACATAGCCATTAAACAAATAAAATCCAACAAATTTTAGAGAATGCATGTCCATTTTAGCAATTATTAAGATTTTTCTAATTCAGCCATGTGACACAATCTTTTACCTAATTTTTGCATTTGTTTTAGTGTTACACTGCTTATTTGAAGATATTGACATTTGGTTATTTCTGACCATCCTGAAGGAAATGTGTCAATTTTTTTTTGACCTACCTCTTACTGATAATCAAGCTTTGTGTCTATACAGTTTCATTGAGTGAATTTCTTTACAACATTTAACATTGCATTGTGTCATTCCAATTAAATTTTGTTCAGTCCATCTGGTAATTCTGCTCTATCAATAGATGTAGCCAAGCTATAAGGTGATACAATCCAATCTGTTATCCAAGTTATAAAGCTAGCTTGATAATACAGTTTGAAATTTGGAGGGCTGCCAGACAACTTCATCTTTTCAAATCCTGTAGTATCTTGAATTTAATCCATGCCTTTTATTGGACTATATGTAAGTTTTTACTTCCTCTGCCAGTCATTTAATAACTTAATTTTTATTTTTATTGGATACAAAATTAAGGCTTAGTAGAATATTCATGTTTACAGCTCACCATTCATGCTCACCAAGATAATTTCAGCTTTTTCCACCTTGTAATACATGTTTTAAATTATTTTTCAATGGGTCTTCATTTTTTTCTTATCTATTTGACCTTTCTAGCAATAATGCCAAACCCTATTATTTGGTGCAAATATTGCTTTTCTTCTTTGGCTTTCTGTCATGACAATATTTTAGTTTTACTGTTATTTATCCAATAATCAGATATACCAAACCTTATTGCAGTATGTATTGCATTATCAATTCTAAAGATTCCTTTGGTTGAGTAAGTGCAAACATGACATCATTAGCATATACTTACAATTCATAGCTTGAGATGCTAATATCCATTCCGAGATTCTGTCTTCTTGATATATCTTCAGTGTCTCTTATTTTTAGCGGTCTTTGTTTATTTTATGTCATGGTTTATATGTCTGTGTGTAATAAGCTGCCCAGAGTCACTGGACAGTATATAAATGTGAAAGTAAAACAAATCTGTCAGTAATGCTTCACTATATCAGTGAGGAACACTTCAATTCTGTCACTGACTTCAAAGTGGGTTGACTGAGAAAAGGAATTACAAAGACTGATTTCTTTGAAAAAATAGCTTAATTAAAAATAAT